CATGCATGCATATACATATATATGCTAATTAATATTTGATCCTTGCCTTGCGTATATCATGTGACCGATTGACCGGGGTCCAACCAGAATAATTGCTTTATCCTGCTAGAGCATTGGCAACTTAATCAAATGGCATCGGATCTCTGAGTTAATCACATGCATGTCATACCGGCGTTCTGCACCGGCAGAACTACCTCGGCCGAGATGTCTTGCTTATCGTCAGTGATTTTACTTGCTCGACTCAACTCATCAAATGTATTTGGACAATTTTAAGTGTCAACAGTCCCCAATGCAACATTTCTACGAGTGGCCCTACCTGAAAATCTGTCCAATCTCATCCTTCCTTCCTCCTGTCATTCTCTCTATTCTCAGGATCTTTTTTTTTAGAGTTCTAGGGCATTACACCCCGGCCTTTCAATTAATATCAAAAGACCAAATCCGTTTACAGCACAGTTTATCCAGAGAAAAACCCAGCTCCATCCGGACACGGAAAAACACCAAAGAGTCTACAAACCAGGAAAACAAGACCTCATGGAGCTTAACGACCAGACACAAATTCAGCTAACAGAACACGACTATCCACCCCTATTACATACACCAAAGAGGTCTACAAACCAGGAAAACAAGACCTCATGGAGCTTAACGACCAGACACAAATTCAGCTAACAGAACACGACTATCCACCCCTATTACATTCTCAGAAGATCATCATTCAGAGCCCTCTGCCATGGTAGGCTCGGGGAGTTCAGCAGCATCGAGTGGATCCCCGGCGCCTGAAAACCAACCTCAGGATCATCAGCAATCACACCTCTGAAGAGCTTTCCGCCGCGCTTCTGGGAATGTCGGGTAGCCAAGACACCATCCTTGCTGAAGTCTTCAGATTCCTCAGGAAACCATCCAGTAGTCCCCTTTTGTCCGCTGGGCACAGAACTGTGAGTTCTGGAAAAAAAAAACTCGACCCGCGAGGGGCAAGCCGCCCCCCGGGCATTATACGTAAGAAGAAGACCTTCTCACACAGGCCAAGAAAACCCCCGAACCCCGGCCCCAGCCCGACACTGGGAGACGTAACCCGTGAGATGGGCCGTCTCCTTTAAACCAGTGCTTTGGCACCCGGGACCGGTGAGGGGATTTTTTTAACCCCCAGCCTGAAATTCGCTCCCACTGGGAGTCGAACTCAGGATCTGGAGGGTGCCGCCGGAGTGACTAGCATATCTCAGTTAACCAACTGGACTAGCCATCCTTTGGCCTGTCGAGTTCTGAAGGAGCCCATGAATTTTGTAGAAAAGAATATCCATACTTTTCCATCCAGTTCTCTGAAAACAAAGCTCATTCCTGAGTTTCCAAATAGACCGCATAACAGCAGAGGTAATCATATTTACTAAGCTATTTTTCTTGTGACTCAGCCAAAATTTTCCTATAGTAATAATATCTACTCCTACCTGAATTCCTAGAATATCAGAAATCACAGTCCAGCATCTACTAGCAACAGCACAATTAAAAAACAGGTGCTGGCAAGTTCATTTTCAGCACAGAACAGACAAGTTCCATCGTCCACTTTTCTTCGTTTAGCTAAGTTATCTCTAGTCAACGTTCTATTGTTTATTAAGAGCCATAAGAACATATGCACTCTTGGAGGAATCTTAATACCCCAAACTGGCGAGACATGTACCTGTTTAATCCCTCTAAAATTAATGACTTTGTATAGCGATTGGGAAGAATATGTGCCTTTAGAAGTGAACTTCCAAATCATTTCATCTTCCTCATCAGAAAGGTGGACTGTAGAAACTAATTCAACTACTTGTAACCAGGACTGGTATAGATCTTCACTTAAATTCCTCCTAAAGGTGCACCTCAAGTTGTAACCATCCCATAAATCTACAACTGTCTTATCATGCTCGTTAATGATTCTATAAATTGGCCAAAACTGTATGGCTAAGCTAGAGGAACCTAACTAGGTGTCTTCCCAAAACCTCACCTTTCTACCATTACCCACTTTCCAAAGATATCCCATCTTAGCAGCCTGGGTGGCCCACATGAAACCCTTAAAGAAACTAGACACATTGTTAGTTCTGGAGAGTAGCACATTTGGTTTTAGAATGTCATACTTAAAGTCTATTAACTCTTTCCAGAGTTTATTCCTATTTGAGTTATATCTTTTAAGCCAAGATGCTAAAAGACATAAATTTAGATCCCTCCCTCAGATTAGGAATCCCTAAGCCACCATACTCCTTACACATGGAGACTAGCTCCTAGTTTGCTAGGTGGTATCTATGCTTATTTTCAGAGTCATCCCAAAGAAAATTACCCATGTGGGTGTTTAACATTTTTATTGCCCACTTAGGAAACTTGATAAAGGATAAAAGATAGACTGGAATACTAGAGAGGCAAGATTTGATTAAAACCACTCTAGCTGCTAGAAATAGAAGCCTTCCTCTCCAGCCTGCAATTTTATTCATGATCTTATCCACTAGTGGTTGTATGTCATCTCTGGTTAAATTGTCAAAATGTAAAGGAATTCATAAGTACTTAATTGGAAATTTGCCAACAGGACAGGAGAAAATATGAGCTAGTCTATGCACTTCATCAGCTTCCAAATTAATAGGTACCATCTCACTCTTGTGGAAATTGATTCTCATTCCTGAGACTTGTTCATACCACATAAGTATACATTTAAGATTTTCCAACACAGAGTCATCTGCTTTGGAAAATAAGATTGTATCATCTGCATATTGCAGAGCTACACAGGACAGGACAAAATATGAGCTAGTCTATGCACTTCATCAGCTTCCAAATTAATAGGTACCATCTCACTCTTGTGGAAATTGATTCTCATTCCTGAGACTTGTTCATACCACATAAGTATACATTTAAGATTTTCCAACACAGAGTCATCTGCTTTGGAAAATAAGATTGTATCATCTGCATATTGCAGAGCTACAATCCCACCCACCCCCCCCCCCACACACACACACACACACTCTAAAGTCTTCTAACAGACCTGTCACAATCCCCTTATCCACAGCTTTCCTAAGCATCCTAGATAAGCCATCTCCTACCAAATTAAAAAGGAAAGGGGACAATGGGTTTCCTTGGCTTAACCCCTTTCCAGGTTTAAAGTAAGAGCTTTCTTCCCCATTCACCATAATACCCAAAGATCCTCCCTCAACAATATGTTTAACCCAGTTTATCCAAACTGGATCAAAACCTCTGGCTTCTAACATATCAAACAGAAAACTCCAAGAAACCCTATCATATGCCTTTTCATAATCCAATTTAAGAATAATCCCTGGTTCACCACTCTGATGAACACTGTGAACCAACTCATGAGCTACTACCACACTCTCTAGAATGTATCTACCCTTAATAAAAGCTGATTGCGTTGGGGCAACTATCCTTTGCACCACAGAGGTCAATCTAAGAGTCAACAGCTTCGAAAAAATTTGAAAACTACAATTTAACAGACCTATTGGCCTAAACTGCTTCATGTTTGTTGCTTCTCCCACCTTAGGAATTAAAGTAACCAAAGCAAAAATTAAGTCTCTTAAGGTCAAGCACACCTTTATGAAAATCATCAAAAAGAGCAACCACATCATACTTAATGAGATTCCAAAACTTTTGGTAGAAGAGGAAAGATAAGCCGTCAGGCCCAGGGGCACCTTCTGCATAACAACTAAAAATAGCTTCTTTAATTTCGGTTTCTGTAAAAGGGCTATGAGCAACTCATTTTCATTCCTAGAAACCTTATCCTCTTCCTTCCAAAAATCCTGGCCTAGCTTCAAGGCAGGGTCTGGATCTTTAGCAAAGAGATTCTTATAAAAGTCTACAGCAACTCTCATCATCCCTTTTTGGTCATAAACTAAGCCTGTACTGCTTTCCAAACATTCTATCTTCTTCCTACTTCTCTGGTTAGCAACAGCCTGGAAGTAGGCCGTATTCTTGTCCCCTTCAAGAATGTTTCTATCTCTAGAATGTTGTCTAATTTTAATCTCTTCTAAAGCCCAGATCTATTCCAACTTGTCCTCAATTTCCAGATCTCTAGAATGTTTCTATCCCTGATTTCAGCTAGGCCTTCCAGCCTAGTGAACTCCTTAGACAAATCTACTTTGGATTTATTTTGGGCTGCCACCTCATTTGCCGCCCATCCCCTGATCATCCTTCTCAAAGTCCTGACTCTCAACTGCCATCTATCTAAACTGTTAGAAAAAGAGCAAGGAGTTCCCCAAGCTTTTTCTACTACACTTCCAAAAGACTCCTTTTCTAGCCACCACTTTTCGAATCTGAACCTTTTTTTGCCAAAGCAAGTATTAGCCCCAGCATCTAACACTAAAGGATTGTGGTCACTTGGAAATCTGTCTAAAGCCTTAACATTGGACAAAGGAAAGGCAGCATCCCACAGACCTGAGACAAAAACCCTATCAATCTTGGCTAAGATGGGATGCTCCTGATTATTTGTCCAGGTAAATCTTTTATTACTGGGGTTAAGCTCAATAAGAGCCCACTTGCTAATCCAGTTGTTAAAACCATCAGCCCACCTATGATTATAGACACCATTGCTTTTATCAGAAGCAAACCTAACAAGTTTAAGGTCTCCACCAACCATGGTTGGGCCATTCCAAGAACCCATCACAGTTTCTAATTCATCTGAGAACTCTTGCCTAAAATCATCATAAGCTGGACCATAAACAACAACCAGTTTCCAAACAAAACCATTAGACTTGTTAGTCAGCATCACACTGACAGAAAATTTTAAAACATCACCAACTACCATGTTGAATTTATCCATGTTGGCACCAACCAGGATTCCTCCTGCAGAGCCTTTAGCTTCTAAATGATGCCAGGCAAAAGAACATTACCAGATAAATATTTCAGGAAACCCAAAGAGAGTGAGTTCTTGGTTTCCATAATACCTACAAACTCAGCATGAGAATCTTTGATCCAACTAATCAGGGCTGGTACCCTACCAAGTTTACCCAGACCTCTAACATTCCACAACAGACCTATCATTTATACTTTTTCTTATTCTTTTTCCTAGGGCCTACTTTGGACCAACCCAATTCCTGGTCGTCCTTAACTTGATCAGGCTTTCCATCCTGATCATTCTTCTGAGGTGTACTAGTCCCACTATCTGTTTTCTCTAATTGGGCCTGAGAACACAATCCTGTGTCCAGAGTTTGACGGGAACAACCATAGTGACTACATTTAGCTTGCATATCTGCTATTCTAATTGAATCCAAATCTACCATCTTATCTAAAATAGGATTTCCATCCTCTATTCCAATGCCAATATCCTTGGCCACATATATTAATAATTTTTTAGAAACAACATGGGATTTGAAGGGATTTTTGCTTATACCTGCATTGTCTTCTAAGTTCCACTCTCTCTTGAAATCCTGGGCATTTTCCAAAACAGTCTTGCCATTATGAATGAGTCTGCTACTCCTCCTTGATGGAATTACAGGGCCCCACTGTTGTTTCTTGTTAACCTTCTTTGTCTTTTCCAGGTAACTATCAGATCTGTACTTCTCCTTATCTTCTGCAGTGGGCTGAGTCCATGCTATATCACCCCCATTTTCATCCATCTTTTCTGTTGGCTGAGAAGCTTCACAGTGAGGGCCTTGATTCACTTGCTGTGACACCACAGAGCTGTGGCTATTACTATCAGTATTTTTGACAAGGAAGCTTTGGTTCTTCAACTGCAGGTCATAGATCCATTCATCAGGTAATTGGGTTTTCTCATTGTCATCCTGCAAAATCATGGAGCTATTATCTTCTAAAATTTCATCTTCAGCATCCTCTCCCTCCAATTCCATAGCCCCAAATTCTCAGGATCTTCTCTGCACGATACCTCACAAATCACGAGAATCATGGGCGAGCAGGTCGTCGGCGAGCAAACGCACCTGCAGCCAGCGAGCCAGCAAGCAAGCGGATCGAGCAAACGTACCTGCGGCCAGCAAGCAAGCGGATCGAACCATCCACGGCCATGTAGTAGTGAACACGCACGCGATGCGCATAGAGGCGGCGAAGCAGAGGGACGCCATGAAGAGGACCTGCTCGGCGTATGAGGGAGACGGAGAGAATCCTGGCGATGCAGAGCACATGTTGGATCACTGGGTCCCAACGTAGCGCCGAGGAGGATGCTGGGCGGTCGCGCGAGGTCCCGGAGGAGGCGGCGCGCGAGCCTGCGGCGCCCGTACGAGGTCCCTGCTGCTGCGCCCGCGCGAGCTCCCAGCGGCGGCGGCGGCGCGTGAGCTGAGCGAGTGCGTTGGGAGTGCCCTTAGCCTCTGGCGCAATGACCAAGGAGCACAAAGGAACGCCGAATTGCAATTAATCGCCGCGCTGCTATTAATGATTTGGCGTCCGTTTCACTTCTCAAATAACCGCGTGCTCACGCTGCTGAAAACGCCGTTAGCCCGCCCGTAATCACGCGCTTAAGAAGGAAGCCCCGCGCAGCCACACACAGAAAATTCATGACCCTCCATGCACTTCCTCTTCTCGTGCCACGATCACTTTCCCTCTATTGCCGCCCATACCAAAATTCGGCCGCCACAGAAAAAATTACTTACCAGTGCATCACCTTCCTTCTATTGCCGCCCATACCAAAAGAACCAGCAGTGCATCAATTTTTTGTTGCCCGCCATCACCTTCCTTCTATTGCCGGTTTCATTTTCATGTTGGCATGGCCTATATAAGTTGCCTTGGGGGATCAGTACGTCCTGGCAATTCCAGTAAGCTCTCCCCACCCTCACCCCTCTCTCCTTCTGGACATCAAAAACAATGCTCATGATGGAATCCAAGGTGCTATTTGTTAGATAATTAGGCATTTTTATGGTCAATTTAATCCAGAAATAAAACATCAGTAGGTATGTGACGACATATATGTGTATGTGTATATCACTAACAAACGCTATAGCATACAAGTTTGACATACCGATCGATACAGTAAGTACGCAAAGTACGGTAATCAGAGAGTTAAGAGTGTACCCAGTGGAGGTCCCATGCCGAGGGCATCGGAGGCTCCATTAGCACTAGACATAGTGCGTTGCTCGAAGTCGTGGACTACAATCGATGCAGGAAGGTGTTCGTTTAGCGGTCCTCTATAAACGGTCACCGGGAAGAAGACACATTCGGCCGCGATCACAGGAAAAAAATTACTCACGTGGAGTGAGCATCACCGCCCCCCTAATCGCCGCACACCCGTGCAAGGGTTGCCAGACGAGGGTTCGGAGGCACTGCTCTCCCGTTGCTCCGCCATCACCGGGAAAACCCTTCTGAGATGTGGTCTCCGAGCGAAGGGGGTTTTCGGAGGACTTTAAGTTTTATACTGCGGTGGGGAGGGAGAAAGCCACCGAGGAACAGTGGAGACGGAGACACGAAAAGATTCCAGTAATCGCAATCAACTCGCCTTCACCATCACCCCTCTAATTATGTGGATTAATGGTAAAACCTCGCCAACAATGCTCGCTTGCATGCCTGCTACGCCACGCCACGCCCATGCCCATGCCCTCGGCTGCTATTTGTTAGATAATTAGGTATTTTCATGTGGCACTCTATGTTAATCTCAATTAAGATGGATAATTTCCAGCCAAATAAACTGAGTCAACATTCAGTCAAAATCATGTACGGTATTAAACCATACAACGCTTAATGTTACGGACCATAGAGTTTTATTTGATTTATTAAACTTTATATGGGCCAAGCCCATAATATATCCAACAATCCCCACCAAACTCTACGGTTTGTAATAAAGTAATCTCAGAACCACATTTCTTTTATATACTAGTGTTTCGATGGAGACTGTTAAGTTGAACATCCATCTAGAGCAATAGTTTTATTCAGTTACAACTAAATAATTGACTAAGCCTTGAATTGATAGTTTTGTATGAGGTGAATGTCACTAAAGTTCTTAGCTGATACTAGGCTGCAAAAGGCATCCCCTCTATTTGAAGCATTTAAATCATACTCCAGTGCCTTTCATGAGTATTTAGAGATCACCCAAATCTCATAGACTGTGACTATTCCAGTGCCTTTCATGAGTATTTAGAGATCACCCAAATCTCATAGACTGTGACTAGCAGTCTGACTCATATAGGTGTGTTCCTCAAAAGATGTTCTATAGGACAACATCTTTGCTTTAGCAAGCCACTTGAAACACGGACATTAAGTAAAAACCAAAGGGCCTTGACAAAAGAAAAGATATGCAAGTGAAATGAGTCTTACTAAGGATCTTTTCTCTTTAAGTTTTTACTACTAGCTTGTTTCACCATCCTACTTCACGGGATCTCCGATCACATAGAACGAGTTACCACTATAGTAAATTTCATGTGGGTTTCAAACCCATCTCTCTCAATGCACTTTCTATCAAAGTGACAAACCCTTAGTGAATTGATCTGTGATTTTAGATGTGAACATAGTCCAACACTATTACTACTAGGAGTTTCTCAATTTTCTAACAAATTTTAGTCATCTCTTAACATGCCTTGTGGACTTTATGTTATCCCATTAACCTTCGTAATGCCCATGCCGATCACGGTCTATGTTATTTTGAGTTCATAGAATAGCCGGTATGAGTTTTTCAACAACCGATAAATCCATAAGGAGATCAAGCCACGCCACATGTGAGCACTCCAATGTCAATCTTTGTGAGTTACGCTTCCATTATAGATTTTGTTAAGATAGTCCGCTTGTAAGACTTTCGTGAAATAGCACCACCTCCAAGCGAAAACATATATCTACTTGTGGCATAAAGCTCATTAGCATCAGAGAATGATTGGCATCATAATAGCCATAACACCTTTTATTTGATTTAATACCATAGCTTATAGTGCCTTTTAGATAGCGCATCACTCTTTCCACGCTAGTGATCATCTCCCCACCAAACACAAACGCTCATGAGGTTTACACACAATAAATGAGATGTTAGGCCTTGTTGCACTAGCAACATATATACCGAACCAATGATCGAGAATATCTCAATTGATCCCTTGCTATTGAACGCTTTTTCCCTCAATAGCACAATAGGGTCATAAGGTGTAGGAGCTTCTTGATGGGTTCACGATAAAACACTAAACCCAAAGCGACTTAGACCTTTTTCCATATAGTGGGATTGTGTGAAGTTAATGTCACCATCACATTCTCTTAAGCTTGATATTAAGAATAACATCATCCTCTCCCAAATCTTTCATTTCAAAATTATTAGATAAAAAATCCTTCACCTCCTCAATCACTTTGAGGCTGGATCTAAATATCAGTATGTCATCAACATATAAGCACAAAATAACTCCTTCACCCCCACCATACTAATAGTACACACATTTGTCAGCTTTATTCACAACAAAGCCAGCAAATGTTAGAGTTCTATTGAACTTCTTGTGCCACTGCTTAGGAGCTTGTTTTAGGCCATATAATGACTTTAATAACTTACACACCTTTCCTTCTTGACCATTTGCTACAAACCCGAAAATGAGTTTTATAGATCTCCTCCTCTAACTCTCTGTTTAGGAAAGCTGTCTTAACGTCTATTTGATGAACGATAAGACCATAAGAGGCTGCCAGGGAAAGCAAAACTCGAATTGTAGTCAATTGGGCAACCGGTGAATAAGTATCAAAGAAATCCTCACCTTCCTTATGAGTATAACCTTTGGCTATAAGTCTTGTCTTGTACCTCTCGATAGTACCATCAGGCCTAAGTTTTTTCTTGAATATTCATTTACACCCTATAGGCTTGCACCAATAAGGACGATCAACTATTTCCCAAGTTTTATTAGACATAATAGAATCCATCTCACTTCGTACTGCTTCCTTCCATAAGTCAGCATCAGGAGAGGAATATGCCTCTTCAATGGTCGTTGGTGTGTCATCCACAAAGTACATAATATAGTCATCACCAAAAGACTTTGCAGTCCTTTGTCTTTTACTTTTTTCTAGTGACTATAGTGTCATCCTCTTCAGGATTTTGCATATAGGGTTCCTCAATTTGTTCTATCGGAGTAAAAGTTTCATACTCATGGGAAATTATAAATTCATGACTAGTCGTGCTAGGTGCATTTTTCATGGGAAATTCATTCTCAAAAAATATAGCGTCTCTAGATTCCATGATTGTATCAACAGCCATTTCAGGAACACTAGAATTTATAATTAAAAATCTATAACCCATGCTGTGAATAGCATAACCAAGAAAAACATAATCAACAATCTTTGGTCTAAGCTTTTGCTTTTTGTTTATTGGCACATTCACTTTTGCCAAACAACCCCAAGTTCGCATGTAAGAGAGATTTAATCTCTTCTTCTTTCCTTCCTCGAATGGTGTAATTTCTTTGTTCTTTGTGGGCACCCTATTCAGGACATGACACGCTGTCAATATAGCTTCACCCCACCATTCCTTAGATAGTCCCACCGTCTCTAACATGGCATTAACCAAATCAGTTAGAATGTGGTTCTTTCTCTCTATAATCCCATTGAACTATGGTGAGTATGGTGGTGTCCTCTCATGAATAATTCCATGCATCGCGCAAAACTCAAAAAATTTTTTGAGAAATATTCTCCTCCATGATCGGACCGCAAACATTTGATTTTTCTTCTCAAGTTGATTTTGTACCTCAGCTTTATAGACTTTAAAATAATACAACGCTTCATCTTTAGTTTTTAATAAATACATGTAGCAAAATATAGTACAATCATCTATAAATGTCATGAAGTATCGTTTACCGCCTTTAGTCAATTCGCCATTCATTTCGCATAAATCAGAATGAACGAGTTCTAATGGTGCCAATTTCCTCGCCTCAGCAGCCTTGTGAGGCTTGCGCGGTTGTTT